GCGCTTCCTTCGTGCAAAGGTGCGCTAGTTCAGCGCCCTGAAGCTGCCAATTTTTTCTGAGCTCCTCCTCCACCGTTTGTGCTCTGCCCATCAGTGTTTTGCTAGCAGCATCATTATTTCAAAGAAGGTATTCCACTTCGAGCGCATATACCATAACTTTGTCATGCGTTATAAATCAAAGCGCGATATATACTGGGATGGTAGCGGCTATCGGTTTAACATGTGCAAAGACCTCTTAATTGGTTGCTAGCTCGTCCATTATCGGAGGTCAACGGGCAAAGAAAGCCCATTTTGCGCCTTCTTGACGGATTTCTTTGCTTTTTTCGCCACTGGGGCATTATTCAGCATCTCCACTTCCACTATGAACCCAGTCCAATCTTATCGTAATCCCTCGCTTTAAAGGCAAAGTTCGGGATAATTGATCGAAAATTAGCTTTTCCCCGTCAAATATGCAGCACGCAAGCGCGGACCATGTGCAGAAGTGACGGGGCGATTTGACAAGGTTTAGGCGCTAGGCGCCTAGGTTGGAGCATTGGCGCCGCCCCAACCCCATTGAGCCCGCCCACTGTTCCACGCGACCTTCCAAACAACACTTGGAACACTAGATGTCAAGCCGTTGTTTGGAAGGTCGTAGGAGGATATTTTGCGGATTTCGACTGCCAAGTTCAACATCAAAGTCTATGTTACGGCCATTATCGGGAACTTTGCCATTCATTCTAAGAAGAATCAAATTTTTAAAATGGGAAAACAAACAAAAAAGCAGAAATAAGCAGAAAAAATAGGAAAATTGGAAGAAATCAATTTCCACTGCTGATTTTTATGGCCGTGTCGGTTGTTGGCATGGAGCCAGCAGCTGCTACGAACATGTTTAGACTCGTAATCCTCCCAACCAGGGTCAACCGTCCGTTCGAACTGTTCGAACGAAGGGGTCGCATTTTGGTCGGAAGGGGGTCGCAATTTCGAGGACTGCCAGCCACAGGCGCGTGCGTGGCGTATCCGAGGGCAAGAATTGGTGCAGACCGCATTAGATTCGATTATTATGCACAGAGAGACAGTTTTAGGCAAATTACGGTGTTTTCCTTGAGGAATAAAGAACAGTTGAATGCATCCCTATGAAAGGTTTGACTTCTCGGGGCTGAAATTAAAGTTCTTCGGGACCTAATTTTCTGAGGACGATTCTTCCAGACAACGGTAAAACACATAAGAAAGCAGAAATCTCGTAGTCTTCAAAAATGTCTTCGCCCCTCCCCAACAAGTTCTTTGAAGGAAGTTATTATTGCTGAAAGCTCAAAAACTCGCATGTGCTGCTCAAAAACCTATGGGAACAAAATGTTCGAACGTGTGATTTTCTCGGAAAATGGATTTTGAAAAACGGTTTGGTGCTTGTCAGAAAGAGCAAATCCTGCTCTTTCACCCCATGGAAAGTGTGCATCACAGAAATGAAAATGAAGTGAGTTATGCCCGCTGAAAGCCCAAAAACTCGCGATTTCAAAAAAAGTGTTCGAACGGGGCGATTTTTTGAAAAAGAGGACAATCGTCAAACTTTTTATATTATTTTGTTAGAGAAATATTTGAAGTTTCTGAAACTTTTTACAGATTTCCAAAATGTCGCATACGAAAGATTTTATGGGCCTTCAAAGTTGAAGGTGCGCCTTCTTAGAATTTTGGGTTTTCCACTTCTAACAGAAGTACTTTCCGGAGAGTTAGGCAATCCTTGTAGTTTTCTGGAAGCGCACCTCAGGCACAATCAAAATCTACCTCAACAAGTCAAAAAAATACGTCCCAAGAAAGTTATTCCCCTCTAAAATTTTTTCTTCGCCGCGTCCCGTTCTTCCAGCGCCCGGGTGATACCTGCCGCGCTCCAAGGCCGACGCGACGACGCGCAGACGCTTTCTGGCGCAACGGATTCATGTCTAGCACTCTTATTAACAAAAACAGGGGGTCGCAACTGGACCCCCTCGAGAGCTAGGGGGTCGCAAAAATCCCGAAAATGTTCGAACGTGACGGTTGACCCTGCTCCCAACCCTGGCTTGTGAGTAACTGGCGAAGAGGAGGTCATTTTTTGGGCTGGTTCGGGGGTAGTTGCTGCTTTTTCTTTGGTTTGATTCCCTTAGTACCGAATCGTTATATCTGTGAAGAGAAGTCCCCGATTTCATCGCGGAGCTTGTCTTTAAGATTTTATGCAGACCTGTAATAGCAAAGCTTTGAAAGCAAGGGTCGGAATAGAATTGATTTGGTATTTGTGCGAAAATCAGACAAGAAGTGCGATTAGTAACCTTATGGTTAGTGGGAGAAAAAGTAAAAGCGACATAGAAAACATTGGAAATTTTCCTTGTAAGGTTAGCCGCTGAATGCGGCTGTCGCCAGTTCCAGCTTTGCATGACTGGATGTTGAACCGATGAAAAAATATTGTCAACAAGATTTCAAATCTCACTGATAATTTTAGCACGTGTGCCCAGCAAGGGTCATCATAGATATACCGACTTCTGAATGAACTTGCTCAGACGCACATTCAACCCATATTTGAGTTTGCGGGGTGACGAAATTCTGCTGCGGCAATCTGTTACCATCCGGACTGCTTTTTTCATAGGAAGCACTTCCAAACTCATCATCCAGTTCATCGCTTGCAAGACTATTGCGCTCCAAACAAGCGAGTAGTTCAAACCTGTTTTTTCGGTACCAGGGGTGCGTAGTAATGTTTAAAGGAAGCGATGTGTGGTCCTCCCACGGCGAAAGGTGCTGTGGTTGCTGAGCAGGACCCGCGTGACGCCCCGCCCCCAGTGACGTGACGCCCACTAGTTTTGTTGATGATCTGGATGGACTGTTTGCTGTTGGCTTTTCATTTTGGATGATCATTTCCCTTCTAGCGGCTGTATCTTCCAACTTGCCCACGTATTGCCTTATCAATCAAAACACTATGCTTGCATGATGGCGGCTATCGGGGTTAACACGTCCGAACAACGTCGTTCTTTACCGTCGCTCATCCATGGTCGAAAATGAAAGGGCAATCAAAGGGGTACCATTTTGCTTATTTTCGACGGATTTCTTTGCTTTTTTCGCCATTGGCGTACTATTGAGACCAGGGTCAAGCGTGCGTTGAGGAATCCTCGACATGTCACAGAGGGGGGGGGGTCGTATTGGCCCGCTGGGGAGAGATCGGGCCCGATTGATACAGTAGGATCATCGTCGGAGGACAAACATTAAGGATCGAATCGATACCAGGCCAGAGTATTTCCAATAACAATTGATTCCGTCCACACAAAATCTTCGTGATTTAGAGGTGTCCGCTTAGCAATTCTTAGTGACTTTAGTGTTTCATCACCACACAAGTCAAAGAATCCGAAATTCGCACGTTTTCCAAGGGATATTTTATCTTTCAAGTAGGTCCTCAAATCCAAAGAGATGTGAAGCACACGGCGCATCCCAGAGTGGGCCCAGTTGGTTGCGCGCGCTTCAGCTACGACTGTCTTGATAACGAATCTTAATTTAGGAAGAATCAAGAGGGTTCAAGAGTTCATGTTAAATTACAGAGAGGAGGACACTATTCAACAAGAAATGCAGCCTTCCGCGTCAAATTC